AATGGAGCACTGGGTGTTATATGCAAACAATGAATCATGGAACCCTACATCAAAAACTAATGATGTAATGTATGGTGATTAACATAACATAATAAAAAAAATTATAAAAAAATCAATTCTTCTTTTTCCAAGGGCATTCCTATCAGAAACACTGTACTTGATAAAAAAATAAATGATGATTAAAAAAAAAGAAAAATTCCTGACATTGTTTATTGTGCTTTTTTCCCTTTATCACCTCACCAAAAAATTAAAGAAGCATCTTTTAATGTTTTTCATCCTATCTGTATGTTTCTTTTCTATTAACTAATTTATTCTTTATTTTTCTTACCTCTTTCTTTAATTTGTTGATTTTTTTTCTAACTTCTTGAGATAGGTGTTTAGTTCATGATTCTTAGTCTTTTCTAATATATGCATTTGAAGTGATCAGATTCTATCTCACCAGAATTTTGGCTGCATTCCACACATTTTATATGTAGCATTTTCCTTGTCATTTGGTACAATGTATTTCTAGTTTTCAGTATGATTTCTTTGACTCATGAGTTATGTAGAAGTTTTTTCCAAATACATGGGAATTTTCTAGTTACATTGTTATTAATTTCTAGCTCAGTTGCTTTATGGTTTGAGGATTTCTTCTGTATGATTTCAGGTGTATGAAGTTTGTTGACCCAAATGTGATCAGTTTTGGTAAACATTTCATTTGGTTTTGTATCCTGTAGATATTAGATATAGGCCATTAGGTCAAATTATGTGGTTTTTGTTTGTTTTTCTATTAGTTACTGAGAGAATTGTGTTTAAAATATTTTTCTATATTGTGGTATCTTCCTCATCTCTGGTTTTGTCAGATTTTGCTTTATGTATTTTTAGACTATATCATTAGGTGCCTAAAAACTTAGAAGTCATATATTTCCTACAAATGAAACTTTAATGATTTTGGGGGGCCCTGGGTTCTTAAAGTGGGTTCTTAAAGTGTGCTTCACCTAATATTAGTGCATCTATTCCAGTTTTCCTTTGGTTATTGTTATATGATGTATTGTTTTTGTCCTTCTATTTTCAGTTTTTCTTTATCCTTATGTTTTAGTTCTATTTCTTATAAATAGCTTATGTCTGTTGGTTTTTATGTTTGGTATAACAAGTCATTTAATCTGAACATTTAGTCCATTTATAGTTTATGTATTCACCAGTAAAATAGGCTTTTCTAGTATTTCTGCTTATTCCATGTGCTCTATTTCTTTTTTCTCCTTAGTTAGTTTCTTTCAGATTGAGAGTTTTTTTATAATTCCATTTTCCCTCTATTAGCTATCTATCTATCTATACACACTTTTCTTTTTTTTAAGATTTTTTAATTTTTAAGTAATCTCTACACCTAACATAGGGCTCAGACTCACAACCCCAGGATCAAGAGTTGCATGCGCTACCAACTGAGCCAGCCAGGTGCCCCTTAAATTAACTATATACTTTTTTACAGTTTTTTTTAGTGATTATCCTAGAGATTATAATATGCGTTTCTGAATTGCAAAGGCTAATATTAACCGGTATATTTTATCCACCTACCAGACAGTGCAAAAACATTAGAACAGTGCTTCTCAAATTTTATCATATATAAAAGATTCACCTGGAGAATTTGTTGAACCATTAATTCCTGGGTCCCATCCCCACTGCCCGATTCAGTAGGTATATGGTCTGGTCCAAGAACCTGCATTCCTAGCAAGCTCCTTGCTGCAGTCTGCATACCACCATTTGAGTAGTACTGACCTTAGAATTTGCTTCTGTTTATCCTCATCTCAGCCTAAATGGCTGTTACTTTGTATTTTAGATTTCTCTATATTTTAAACCCCAGAAGTTATTCTCCTACAATACAGTCATTATCTATCTATAAGATTTAGATTTGCTTACATGGTTACCCTGCATTCTTCCCTGCATTTCTGGGCTTCCATATAGGATCATTTTCCATCTGCCTAAAAAGAATATCATTTAATTTTCCTTAGTGTAAGTTTACTAGTAACAGTTTTTTTCAGTTTTTCTTGTCTGTGAGTGTCTTTATTTTACCTGCATTATTAGGTATAATTCATGCATAAAATTTACCATTTTAACCATTTTTAAGTATACAGTTCAGTGGCATTAAGTACATTCACAGTGTTGTGCAATTGTTCATCTCCAGAACTTTTTCATTATCCCAAACCGAAACTCTGTACCCATTAAACAATAATTCTCTCTTCTTTCCTCTTTCCAGCCCCTGGCAACCTGTATTCTATTTTCTATCTGTATGAATTTGCCTATTCTAGATACTTCTGGAATCATACAATATTTTTCCTTTTTGTACCTGGCTTATTTCACTTTGTATAATGTTTTCAAGTTTCATCCATGTCATAGCATCTATTAGAATTTCCTTCCTGTTAAGATGGAAGAATATTCCATTGTGTGTGTGTATGTATATGTATACAAACACACCTATATGTATACATACACACACCATATTTTGTGTATCCATTCATCTGTTGATGGACATTTGGCTTATTTCCAGCTTTTGATTATTGTGAATAATGCCTCTGAACATTGATATACAGGTATCTGTTTGAGTCCCTGCTTCAATTCCTTTGTGCATATACCCAGAAGTAGAATTTCTGGATCATATTGGTTGTTTGTGTCTTAAGACAGTGGTATGTTTTATTGTGTCAAACTCAAAAGGGTTGCTGAGAAGAAAAGCTTCAAAGCATACAGTTGGCTCAAAAACATATGAGCTTCATCCACTTGGGGTCAAGCCGCATTTGACAGGGTGGATTCAGAGCTTCCTTACGCAAACCTGTGAAGTATAAAAGCCACATCTATGCTTAGTTAACTTTCAAGAGGCAATAGTAGTTTTTCTTAGAGTTGCCCTCATGGAGGGAAGTCTAGGTGCAGTTTGTGAGCTTTAAGCTAAAGTTTTTCAAGTGCTTATCATGGGTAGATGTTTTGAGTCTTCTAAACTTTGTGGTTTTAAAAAACATTACAAATAAATATTTTAGCTTCTCTGAGGTTTTTAGTAGACCCTTTCAGTTCTAAAAATTTGTGATTGGCATGTGATATGTAATGAGCAGCTATCCTCACTAATTTGCTATGCATTCATTTAAATTTCCTCCAGAACTTTAGATTGTTGTGTTTTGTTTTCTTTTTACCAAACAGGATTTGCCCAATAACATGATCCATCAGGTGCCAATTAAATCACTCCCTCAAGAGTGGCTTTGGTGTGAAACATGGTGTGATGATGCCTCTAAGAAAAGGGCAAAAACGATAGATTTGGTAAGCTCTCTGTGATTCTTTTCTGCCTCTTAGTCCAGTGTGGTTTACAACTAGATCATTATTAACACACAGAATCTTATTTAGTCTTCTCTGTGGTTGTGCAGGTTGGGGATTGCAGCATGTCTTACATCCATAGATCTCTGCTGCTTGCAGCAGGCAGCCAAGTCCTCTAGTGTCTGATGGGGCTGTTTTCACTACTTAAAATCAGTGAAGTTACTACTTCCCTTAAGGGATTATCTCTGTGCCTTGTGATTTTACCACAGGAACTTTCTTTTCCTGCTTTCCTGTCACTCCCTACAACTTCGTAGAAGCTTTGTGTGACCCACTAGCACATTGCTTCTGCTAATCTGTCATTTGGTTCCTCAGTGTTGTTCTTTTTGTTCAGTTGGGATTTATAACCCAAGAATAAACACACCTTTGAATTCCGAATAATGTGCCCTGTCTTCAGCTTGGTTGAAATAATGCGATTTGGGTTTTCACAGTGTAATAATCCAATGACCAAAGAGCCTAAGCTGGAAGCAGCTGTTCGAATTGTCCCAGAGTGGCAGGACTACGACCAGGAGATCAAGCAGCTACAGACCCGCTTCCAGAGGGAGAAAGAGATGGGAATGCTGGACAAGGAGAAGACAACACAAGAGTCACGCTGGGAAGGTAGGTCCAACCTTTGGCCTTAGGGAAGTACTTATTCGAGTTTATGATTGGTGTTTATTGCAAAAACAATAGAATAATGAATAAAATGAATCTCAGCTCTTCTATCTTGACATCAACCAGTGTATATTTTTTTCTTTTTTAGTTGGCCTTCTAAATGGTATGTATTAATACAATTGCTGCCCTCTTTTCTTTTCTTTGCCCTTTTTTTTGATTAAAGGTGCTTTAATTGAGATTACTGTTATTTAGGCTTGTGAGTTTTGTATAGATAAGACAAGCAAGGAGTCTTCTGGTGTGTTGGTGGCCTGCTTGGGCATAAGGCTCTAGGTCCTTACCTCCATCTGACAAGCCTGATGTTATTTTGGGGATCTATTGTCAGATTCCCTGGTTTTTTATTAAATCTCTCCAGGTACTAGTAAATGAACACATTTAGGATCAAGACAAAGTACATACTGATTTGAAAAAAGTGTTCTTTTAAAGAAGCATATTGGGGTGGAGAATGGAGTGTTTGTATTTAATTTAGGCTAAGAATAGAAGGGACTAAATCTTCATGTAAAATTTTCCCTACTCTGTGTACATCTCAAATGGTGTGCAGTTGACAAAAATCATTAGAGTACAAAAGTGACCTTTTTAAAACTATTAATACTGAGATGTGGATTTTTAACATTTATTCAGCTCAAAACTAATTCTAAAAAAGGAATTACAGAACATGGATCTTGAGTGATTCACCTATCCATCCTGAAGACTGTACCATGATGTATCACGGCCAAGAGGCTGAATATTTAGGATAAAAATAATTGAAATTCACTAGTGAAACCTGAAGGGTTTCTGTCGATACATGGGTAAAGAATGTAGACACACTGTTCAAATAAGAGGAAAACACAAATAATAAGTGGAGTTGAGGAAACAATAATTACATTAAAGGAATCTGTCATTAATATATACTCCATTGAGAAAATACACATATTGATACTGATAATGCTATTTGTTGGGGAGTTGGTGAAGAAACAGCTCTGGGTCTACCTTGCTGGAGCTTTGTACATTACAACAATCCTTGTTAAAAAGCAATAAATTGGGGTGCCTGGGTGGCTCAGTTGGCTAAGTGTCTAACTCTTTTTTTTTTTTTTTAAGATTTTATTTATTTATTTGAGAGAGAGAATGAGATAGAGAGAGCATGAGAGGGGGGAGGGTCAGAGGGAGAAGCAG